CAAAAATAATTGTAGTTGAGTAATTAATTCTTGAAGATTAAGTTCACTGGAAGCAATCAATATTTTAATAATATCCGAAGTATCGTATTCCTCTAAAGAAAGCCTTCCTCCATAGATGTATCTAAAATGAAAATATTTGAATTTTCCGTAAACATATANAAAGCCTTCCTCCATAAATATATCTAAATAAAAATATTTGAATGTTCCCGTAAGTATTAATTTTTTTTTTTTTTTTTTTTTTGAAGTCGACATAATTTATTATTTTAATTCTCTTACCTCAATATCATTTGGAAGATTTCAGGTAAAATATTTGGTAATTTAATATGTGTCATAGCTCCATCATCCCTCTTTTCATTAACGTTAGTTGATAAAATTCTTCGCAAATAAGAAGAACGATAATTTAAAATTACCATGTGGGCACGGAAAATTTTTACATGAGGGTCATGACCAACTTCAATAGTAATATCATAAAATTCATTATCTTCTAAAACTTCAAGTAAATTTTGAGATAATTTTGGTAAAAATTTATTATCATACATTATTTTCGAAATTAGAATTTTTCGAGAAAATGAAGTGAAAAAATACGGGTAGAAGTGAAAAAAGTTAACCTGCAATAATATTTATTTTTATGGATTTATTTGGCAAGATCCGAAGATCTTGAACATATTTCGGCCCGAGAAAAACACCGAAACGCCGGTAACTCACGTGACTAATTATCACGAAACTCGTTCTGTCTATTCATAAAAACTGGAATAGCCGTTATAAGACTACACAAATTTCGTAAATTGCAATAAGATACAAAAGAGTTATTCAATTATTGTACAGTGTGCCAGTTGGTTTATATTCACAAATTGTAATGTAATGTTGGCTTGTATAAATTTTACTGTGTCTTGTCGATCATGATACTGATACCTATAAATTATCACAATTTAGACACGCGCCTGAAATTTGAAATTATATTTTAATGAATCAATGATATGATATATACATGAAAAAATAATACTTGCAAATATTGCAAATACCAAATAATAAATAGCTAGAATAATAACAAATAAATAAATTTTTTACGATTTTTATTTATCTATTAAATTTATTTATTAATATTGACATTATTATATTAATCTCCTGTCGCACTAAGTTTCATTTCATACTAATTTTAGTAAAATATTTAGGTTTAAAATTGTTAATATTTAACGAGTGACACGCTCCAGGAGAGTCCAGAGGATTACCCATTTATTTCAATGGGAAGGGGAAGGAATAAATCGCGTAAAAGTTATTTTTTTTTTTTAACACGCTTCATTTCTTAACGCGCTTTTTATTTATATTTCATAATTTTTTGCTTCTTTTTAAACATTTTACATAAATACTGAATATTTAAAGAAAGTTTTTGTCCATAAAATCTCGTGTCAAACTATTTAACATTACAAAATTAAATAACGAAAGTGTTTTCAAAATTATAGATAACCAAATAAAGTAAATTTATAATATATGGCAATGATTAATAAAAAAAATTAGGAAATTATTTTCATAACTAGAGTTTTCGTAATAAATGATATTAAAATGTCAAGAGAAAATTTCTTTTTTATTTTTATGTACATCAAAAATCAAACTATGTTGTATTAATATTATTATTTACTATATTCGTTAAAATAAGAAATTTTTATACATCATTTATTAAAATTTTAAAAAAACGCTTATTGTCATTTTTTTTCATACAAACAGATTTATTGGTCTTATTATCACATTTTATTAATAAAAATTTTCAAATCCATGATTGAGTTAAGTGTTTGCTAAACAATATAAATTTATATTCATTATTAAAGAAAAAAATGATTATCATAATTTATTTAAAATTTTTTGTTACAGGTACAAATTTCAAAAGATACGTTCGCTTTTGCATTTATTTTGAGCGTATTTAATACAAATCATTACTAATATAACTTAATATATAATATACATATACGTTAGTTTTTGTTGGTATACTAAAGGAAATAAAGTTTATGAGTTTATGAAATTAAATCACATGGTTCAGAAAATTGGGATTCGGGAAATAGGTATTCGGGAAACTGGAGTTTCGGGAAATGATTCGAGGCATTCGGAAATTGACTTCAAAAAATGATATATTCAAGGAAAATGACACTCAGGGAATCGTACTGTGACCATGAAAATCATCATCACCCTTGCTTGTACTGTCCTATAAAAAATTTTCATTTAATACACTCTGATTTTTCCAGATACTTTGAAAATATACAGCTTTCATTCAGAAAAGGTGCTGAATAATGAAACCTATGAAATCTGTATGTTTACAAATATAATAAAACAAAATGAAATTTGAACATTCCAAACGTCATAAAAATTGTAAATTATCAGCATAAAACATGACAAAATCATTGTCCATTTATAATACAGAAACGTACACATTTTATTTATGTTTTTTATTAAAAAATATATTATTTATAAAATCATATCATTAAACTAATATTAACTAGGTTACAGTACGAATTGATTTTCATATAGGTAATACGTAAGTCTCTATCAGGTTTAGCATCAAATTTTAAAATTAATTAATTTAGTTTCTCATACATTGATTCCATCGAAATATTTTACTTTGAAATTTTAAAATAGAAACAACTTCCATAATCCAAAGCCAAAGAAACTTGTCAGAAATTTTTTCGGCTTCTTTTCTTAAGATGAGATAATTTTAAACAAATATGAAAACTATAATTAGTCAAGACTTAAGATAAATCACATGTGACCCAGTCCTCCATGTGCAGCTTGTCAATCATAATAATGGATGAAGGGAGAAATGACCAAACCTAAAAAATAAAACTAACATTTAAATCAAATTGTGGGTAAAAATAAGATCATGATTTACACCAGTGTTTCTTAACGTGATACAAAATTAATGATACTTCCAATATAGCTAAGCTCACGTTCATCCGGAAATTTCTCTTATCCCATCATCCGATTCAGATTCTATTGATTATGTGTGAACTTACTAAGAAGAAAAGCCTATATTATGTGCAAAGTATATCAATTAATAAATAGTTAGAAAATTATGGTAGTTTAGGCAACAATATTGAGTAACAGGGAAGGAATTGCTATCCTCTTTTAGCAAGTGGCAAATCTTCCTTGAAACCCTGCTTCTCTATTATTACTTCATTTTATTAACCAGCCAGCCCTTTCACATTTATTACTTCACGAGTAAATTATTTCTTTAAATGTGTGTAAAATAAATTATTGTAAATTAGGTTTCAATGAAATTATAAACTAGACATTAAAATGTCATTTTATGCATGTCATACACATTTTGAAACCGTAACTATCTACTATAATAATAAATGAAGTAAATACAATAATTACAAAAATAGAAGTATATCCTTTGATGAATCACGTTTTTAATAATTTTTTTAATTTTCATGTGAATCATTTTTAAAAATATTCAATTATTAAAAAATCATTTTTTTTTTTTTTATTTTTCGTTTAATAAGTTTTTAATTTTCATGTAATATAATATAATAAAGTCGTTATGTGATCCGATCACTTTAGCCAAAAAAGATTACACGATATTTTTTTTTCTTTATTATCACATATTTTAAAAAGTTAGTGAAAAAAAAAAATATCAACAAATGTTGCACAACTGGAAAAGTATCACATGTTGAAAACGTGTCTCTAAATGGCTTAAAAATCTTACATTATTAATATTAATTTGTAAATCCTTGATTAGAAATAGGCGCAATTCTATCTATTCACTTTAAGTTATTTTAAAAAATATATTATTAACTAATCATTATTAACCAAAAAAGACATTATTGAAACATCAGCCGTAATAATTAATTCTTACTTCATTATAAATCAAAGTCAATAGTACACAACATATCAAAAATTATTTACTTTCGCAAAAGTGCTTAACCCTTTTTGTTATTAAATCAAGTTCCTCCCGATAAAAAATTACAATGAATTTTAGTGAAAATGATGATCAATAAATTTTTTATGTCGATTACACAGGATGTCACGATGAGATTTACACTGTAAATCATCTGACGGTGGTCTTCTCAGAAATAATAGTATCATTAAAAATAAATACAAGTTTTATATTTAAGAATAAATAGTATAATTAAATAATGTATTATTTTAAAATATATTATCAATATTATCAATTTTAAAAATTTATATATCTGACATTTTATCAATAATTAATTATTATTTATTATTTATTTAATTAAACAAATATCAAAATATACAAAATATTATTAAACACAATAATGTTTTTTTTATGAAAATATTTATTTTAAAAAGACTAATGCTACAATTAATAATGGACATCTTAATAAAAAAAAAAAATTATTTTCTTTGGTAAAATTGTATTTTTTATCACGTATACCAATTTTTTTTTTTCACAATATATTCACTTGTCATCCGCGAAAAGTTGATTGTAGACCCTAAAGAATAATGTGTAAGCATATGCATATGCATATGCTATAAAAACGACAGTAAAGATTAGAATAATTAGACCATATTTGGCATCAAACTATACATAAATTGAACTTATCGATTAGATTATGCTTAACTAATGATCTACAACAAAGCGATATCGTGAAAGCTTATCTATATTTACACAGGTAATAAAATTGTACTGCTCTTATCATAGTTATATTTTCTTTCATAACCGGATTTTCCTTTTTTGATATCGTTTATAAATTTTCGGCAAATTTGAATTTTCTACTTGTTTTTGGTTCATTTTACTAATGGTAAATCCAATATAGATACATAAAAATTTTCAAGTCGATCCGTTTTTTTATATCCATCTTTTTTCCGTATAAGGCTAATATTTCCGGAATTAATAACCTTATATCCCGGAACTTATCGAATTATTTACATTTTCCGTGAATGGATTCGTGAAAGGCTCATTTTTACGGATAAATTTTTTTTTATAGGTAAATATATAAAGGCCGCCGGGTTTCTTTGCTAAACTTTTTTTATTTATTGAATTAATAAAAATGACAACAACACAAGATAATTATTCAATAGTAGATTTCCTACGCACATTACAAGATCCTGCGCCTCAGTATGTACTAGGTTGTGGACCGGCTGTAGCAACAATAGGTGCATCGCCAGAGAGTGGTTTAATAAATAAGTTATTATGGTTATTACGATGTCTTGGTTGTCCATTTACCGGATTGTTTTACGCCTGCGTATGCAATGATCCGATAACAATGAGTATATACTGGCTCACTTCAGATCATTTTATGATGAAAGATGAAAATATACTTCCCTATAGACCTTTAGGTCATTATACTATGAAAATAACAGTAGATGAACAAGATGATGATGTTATTAAATTACTTGAAGAATGTATTGCAGAGGCTTCCGTACTAGATAGACTTAGTTCGCTGGCCTCTGCATATTATATATTTCTTGGTATAATTACAGGGTTAATCAAAGCGATGCGTATAGGACAACCATGTCCTAAAGAAGATTGGCCATATCTACCACTAGCATTAGCCTGGACATTACCAGCAATTTATAAGAGAGTATATGGAGGAAGAATGGTAGTTAACGACCCTAGAGACAGGTTAAAAGATATGCACCTTGTTGTGAGTGACCTTAAACATCGTGAAAGCCACAAAAGAAGTGCCCGAGTTGCTCAAGTTATGATTATCCTTTTATTCTCAATTATAATTCATTGGATTTCGGTACTTCTTGCTTATTTTACTTATCCAGTAGGATATGGATGCCGAAGCAGATATCTTACAGTATTGTCTTCTATTTGGTCATTCAATAACCTTATTGCATATATATCTCATATTATAGGTGAAAGATCTGTAGAGGGTAATAGATTCATTCATGGATGGTTTTGCCTTTGTGGTGTTACTATTTTTATCCTTTTGATTTTGTTAGGCTTGTTAAGCCATACACAATCATGGTGGAAAGATCTATTCGGAAACATCTGTGACGATGCAGCAAGATGTAAGATGTGATCATGTCATGTGCATCATGTGATACTACAAATCGGAACTCTTCGTATCATTCGTGTCGCAAACATTGTATTCCTTTTTTTTCTTTTTTTTTTCTCTTTTTTTACTCACGCGCTCTCTTCTCAAGAAGAATGACCTCTTTATCGTTTTATTTTTTACTTAGTTTCTCTTAACGTTTATGTAATTAATGTAATTAATATATATGCTTTTATATTAAAATCAAAGTATTTTATTCATTATTTTAATTTTTTTACATCATTATAGAAGGTGATATTACCGAAAAAACACCGGTTAATTAATTATGCACTCTTCTCGTTACTATCTAGATTTTTAGAGCATTTATACCTTAGAAAAAAATACGATTTTTTGGTAAAAGTGATATAATTTATTTGTATTTATTATATTATGTACCTGTAGCATGTTTTAGATTTTTGTGTTTATTTTATTATTACTAATTTATCATATGTTTTATTTCATTAATAATTCGTTAAAATATAATTGATTTGTCTATAGCGTTGCATTTATTTTTTGTTAAAATTCATTTTTTGTTTTCTTTTTTTTTTAAAAAAAAATAATGATACGTTTTTATCTGTTTAGAATATTAATTTGTTAAATTTTTATTAATTGTCTGTTGTAAAACTTTAATTAATAAATTTTTAATTGATAAATTTATCGTGAAGCTTTAATTTGTTAGATGATATTGAATTATTATTAAAGAATGATATTAATGAAAAAATTCTTTTATAGATCATTTCTTGGGATACTCTCGAATTTCTAAAACAAATACTTCCTCAAAATTATAAAAACATTAATGAAATTACCATCATTTCGAACTGTTGAAGGTTTTGAAATTCCACAATTTGAATTAGATGCAATTCATGAACATTAGTGACAAAGAGAAGGTAAGAGAATGGTTTAAAGATTTTGAATCTAGATCAAAAACTACGATGCCAGAAACTAAACGTTACAAAATGAAAGAAAAGCGTATACTTTTTCTAGAGAAACGCCATTGTCTTCACAGCGATATGGTTGAGAAGAAACAGGGAAATCAGGAAATAAAGCGTCCACAATAATCGCGAGCACGAAATGTTGGATGCAATAATAATGCAACGATCCAACTTTCGTTTAGAGAGTTGGCGCATCGAATTGAGTCACCCACTAGTGGTTAACTCGGCGGAATCATTGAGCTTTCGACGTGTAGACGGAGCAGTTCGTGAAAAATACTTGAAGTTATTCAAAGATGGGTACTCCCCTATATCAGCAATGTATGTTTACAAGGATAACTTCACCTTAGCGCAACCAACGATCAAGAATTATTGGAACTGCTTGCCGACCGAGCAAAAAACCTGATTACGTTATATTGCCAAATTGTCAAATTGTCTGAGTGAAAATGTATTAAAAAATCAGCCAAATTGATAGAGTTTCAAGATTTGTTCAATGTTTATAAAAGAATTTATTCAATTCTTTGCTTAATTTAATTTGTTTATATTACATTTGTTTATATTACATTTGTTTATATTACATGTAATTATTAAATTTATAATTACAATTTTTTTATTATACGAAAAAAAACCCAATTATACGTAGTCAACAAATATGAAAATACTAATATTGTTTATAAATATTTTAATTGTTATGATAAATTATTAATTTTAGCCTCGAAAACAAAAAAAATAAAAATGAAGCATAATGTTTGTGACACGAATGATACGAAGAGTTCCTTTGTTGTATTGTGATTTGTGACGATAGGTGTAGAATATAGATTGTATTTACATACACCAATAATTTAGATAGTGATATAAAACATGTAATTCTGTTCCCGTGTGTTGTCTGCGTTTCACTGTTCATTTTCTATTAACAAACTTATTAGAAATTGAATACAATAATTACAAAAATAGAAGCATGTTCTTTAACAATGCAAATTCTCACGTTTTTAATAATTTTTTTTTCAATTTTCATGTGAATCATTTTTAAAAAAATTCAATTATTGAAAAATCAATTTTTTTTTTATTTTTCGTTTAAAAAGTTTTTAATTTTCATGTAATATAATATAATAAAGTCGTTTTGTGATCCGATCACTTTAACCAAAAAAGATTATATGTTCCATGCACATTTTTTTCAAGTAAAATTAATTTTTACATTTTAATTTTTACAATATCTTTTTTTTAATTAATAGCTTGATTATCACGTTTTTGTTTATATTTAAAAAAGTTAGTGAAAAAAAAAAAAATATCAGCAAATGTTTCAACAACTGGAAAAGTATCACATGTTGAAAACGTGTTTCTAAATGGCTTGAGAACAAAAATCTTACCATTATTAATATTAATTTGTAAATTCTTGATTAGAAATAGGCTCCGTTCACTTTAAGTGGGTTCAAATATATTTTAAAAAATATTATTAACTAATCATCATTAACCAAAAAAGACATTATTGAAACATCAGCCGTAATTATTAATTCTTACTGCATTATAAATCAAAGTCAATAGTACACAACATATCAAACATTATTTACTTTTCGCAAAGTGCTTAACCTTTTTTGTGATTATATCAAGTTCGAAAATTACAATGAATTTTAGTGAAAATGATGGACAATAAATTTTTTATTACACAACTGTAAATCATCCAAAATAATAGTATCATTAAAAAATGAATAAAAAAATACAAGTTTTATATTCAAGAATAAATAATATAATTAATAATGTATTTTTTTTTTAAATATATTATCAATATTATCAACTTTAAAAATTTGTATATATTCTATCAATAATTAATTATTATTTATTATTTATTTAATTAAACGAATATCAAAATATACAAAATATTATTCTGATTAACGCAATAATGTCTTTTTATGAAAATATTTATTTTAAAAAGACTAATAATGGACATCTTAATAAAAAAAATTATTTTCTATAATAAAAATGTATTTTTTGTTACGTATATCAATTTTTTTTTTCACAATATATTCCTGATTGCAGACCCTAAAACATAATGTGTAAGCATAAGCATATGCATATGCTATAAAAACGACAGTAAGGATTAGACCATATTTGGCATCAAACTATCCATAAACTGAACTCATCGATGCTTTAACTAATGATCTACAACAAAGCGATATCGTAAAAGCTTATCTATATTTGCACAAGTAATAAAATTGTATTACTCTTGTCATAGTTATATTTTCTTTCATAAGCCGGATTTTCCTTTTTTGATATTGGTTATAAACTTTCGGCAAATTTGAATTTTCTACTTGTTTTGGTTTCATTTTACTAATGGTAAATCCAATATAGTTATATATAACAAAGATGTAAAAAAGTCGATCTGTTTTTTACTATATTCCATATTTTTCCGTAAAAGGCTCATATTTCCGGAATTAATAACCTTATATCCCGGAATTTATCGAATTATTTACATTTCCGTGAATTCTTACAGAAATAACGGATAAAATTTTTTATAGGGTCACAAATATATAAAGGCCGCCAGGTTTCTTTGCTAAACTTTTGATTTTTATTTACTGAATTAATAAAAATGATAGCAACATTTCAAGATATTTCAATAATAGAATTACTACACACATTACAAGAACCTGCGCCTCAGTACGTACTAGGTTGTGGACCGGCTGTAGCAACAATAGGTACATCGCCAGAGAGTGGTTTAATAAATAAATTATTATGGTTATTACGATGTCTTGGTTGTCCATTTACCGGATTGTTTTACGCCTGTGGAATACGTAATGATCCAATAGCAATGAGTATATACTGGCTCACATCAGACCATTTTAGGAGAGATGGAAATATACTTCCCTACAGACCTTTTGGTCTTTATACTATGAAAATAGCAGAAGACGAGCGGAATGAAGAAGTTATTAGATTACTCAAAGAATGTATGGCAGAGGCCTCCGTATTAGGTAGACTTAGTTCGTTGGCCTCCGCGTACTATATATTCCTTGGTATATTTACAGGGCTAATCAAGGCACTGCAAATAGGACCATGTACTGAAGAGGATTGGCCATATCTGCCACTAGCATTAGCCTGGACATTGCCAGCAATCTGTAGGAGAGTATTTGGAGGAAAAATGATAGTCAACGATCCCAGAGTTAGGTTAAGAGATATGCACGTTGTTGTGAGTGACCTGCAACATCACGAAAGTCACGAAAAAAGTGCACAAGTTTCTAAAGTTTTGATCATCCTTTTATTCTCAATATTAATTCCTTGGATATCGGTACTTCTAGCCTATTTTACCCGTCCAAAAATATATAGCTGCCGAAGCATATATCTCACAGTATTGTCTTCTATTTGGTCATTCAATAATGTTATTGCATATATATCTCATATTTTAGGAGAAAAATCTGTAGAGGGTAATAAATTCATTCATGGATGGTTTTGCCTTTGTGGTTCTATAATTTTTATTCTTTTGATTTTATTAGGTCTGCTAAGCCATACACGATCATGGTGGTTAGAACTATTCGGAGGCTGTACCATTAAGTGTTGATGATTATACCCAATAATTTAGATAGTGTTTTATTTATGTTTCACTGTTTATTTTCTATTAATAAACTTATTAGTAATCTTTCAACTATTAAATCATTTTTTATAAATGCATCAGTGGTTTTTAATTTATGGCTGCCACCTATTAGCGAGCGATAATGTTTATTGATGCATTTGATTCACATTTACTATAATCTATTATAAATGTACACAGTGTATTATAATTTTTAAAAAATTCTTTATAATTTCAAAAAAAAAACACAAATCTATTTCTTATAGTTAATAATAAGATCAATAATTTAGAATAAATTTATTCATTTTATTAGTAGTTTTAAAATTTAGAATAGTAAAGTCGACAAGAAAAATCTTGTGTATAAAACATCAGTGAAAAAAAGGATGATAATAATTCTTATTAATTAATATATATGAAAATTTGAAATAATTTAATACCCATGTTTTATATTGAAATTATTGCTGTTTTCGATTTAGTTGAAACTGATCAAATTATAAATAAAAACTAGATTAGGTTGATGTGTGGTGACTTCATTGCCTCAGGAAATTTTTAGGTAGATCGATCCATCCAAATCCACGCAGGTTAGCTCGGAAACATGTGGAATTCTACACATCGAATCATGTGGACATGTTTCCACATATATCCACGTATTTTATTCAAGAATTGTGTAGATTTCCGTTTGGTGTAAAATCTCATTGGAAATTTGTAGAATTTTTTAGCGAAATATGTGGATTTCATTTACGAAATATGCAGAATTTATTTGTGGAACTCTGGGTTGATTAATTTTAAAGAAAACATGTCATTATTGGAGTTAAAAGCACTACGTATAAAGTGTTTATTCTTTATTTATTTTTTTTTAATAAAGTGTTCTACTACTAATTTAATCACTTATTAAAAAAAAGAAGCTTAGTACAAACTGAAATAAATGGTTGGAATTCTAATATTTTCAGTAAATAATTTTTTGATTTTATATTTTATGATTACTGTAACTGAATCTGTAATAATTGCTTTCGCAAATAGTTCTATTATTTTGTATTAACATTTTTCTAAAAAGTTATATTAAAAATTTACGTACATGTGCGTGAAACTTTGATAATCATATATATTGTTAATCACATGATCATCACGAGTATACTGTTGTATCAGTTCTTTACGCTTAAAAATATTAAGCAGTTTATGTGGTTAGGTAGCAGAAGGTTTATGTAGTGTATAATTAGACAATATATTAAACAATATATCAAAATTATCCGATCAGACGTGTTGTATAGCGCTGTACGTCGGCATATACCTCCAAACACGAATAAAGGATTTCACTTGATAAAAACTGTCACTTTATAACTTAAAAAAATGAAAACTTTATTTATTCCCTAACATTACAACAAGAAAATTGACCTATATTTATACATATATTAAGAAATTTAACATATTCAATATATTTACTATGTATAATATGACTAACATGTTCAATACGTTGATCATAACCAACATGTTAATTAGGTTCGACATGTTAATCATGTTAAACATTTGCAACATCGATCAATTTCGGAGTGGCACATGACGATCACATGACAATACTCATACTGTATTAAGTTTTCGTTAAATCATGATTTAAACTTTAGTAAGCTACTTTAAATTCTTTAATATTCTTTTAACCTTTTAAATTAATTTCTTCTTTTTTTCTAATAACGAACCATACTTTAATATGAAAACTAAAAATAAAGATAATAATATTCAACCAGTATGATATAGTAATAGAGAACAACAACTCAAATAAGTAGTAATCAATGATTTATTATCTGTTATCAAAAATATAATGATCTGCAATTTGACCATTTACGTTAAAACTTAAGCTTTTTTTTTTAAAAAAAGCTTAAGTTCTCATTTCCCCCTTTTTCTTTCATTCTTTCACTCTCTCTTTCTTCGCCCTTTCCACTACTTTCCTTTCCTTCACCTTTCTTTCTCTTTTTTCCTTTAATTTAGGCCACTCCAATTTAATAGTTTGTTTAACGTACCCCACCCCCCTCATTTTTGAAAAATTTTTAAAAATAAACAAACATATGTTATATCACGTGACTTATAATAACATCACCTATTTGTATATTATTTAAAAGAATTTCTTTCCAGTTTAATTGAATCTACCAAAGAAAATGGTATAATTAATAAAAGTAATATATGTAAACTTATTAATTGCATTATCTGTAATAAATTAAGATGTATTTTTAGTAAAAATGCATTGAGTGATAAAGAAAAAACTATGTTTATTTTTAAATGTTTACTTAATTTGACCCCCTCCCCCCCTCAATTTTTATATAAAATTAGGACGTTAAACAAACTATTAAATTGGAGCAGCCTTATTATAACAAACTGTTGCTAAAGATTCATTTATTTTTTTTATACGTTTATATTTTGGAGTATGTATACATGGAAAATTCAGCGGGATTTAATTATTCTAACGAACATTTTAACATGTTTTTTTTTTGTAGATGGCGGTACGTACTTAAACATGAACTAAACAATTGAGCCCTTCAAAAAAATGGTATGGAAAATAACTTGGGTCACGATCATTATGGAGTAGAAGATGTCACAAATATGTCGGACTATTTATTTTTTTGGATAACGCGTCAGAGATTTTATTAGTATAACTTCCGATTAATTCTTTTAGTGAAACGTTTTTAACATTTCATTTCTTCCTTTTTTAGATAGTCCAGAGCGTTGAAACTCTTCTTGTTAATTTTGTCCAATTACTAATTTCTTTTTTCTTTTTTTTTTTAAACAGTTTTGTTCCTCAGCTCTTTGGATGCAAAACCCTGTAAAAACATTCTTTTAACGAAATATTTTAGACTCTGGGTCTTTGGATGGGTGAAAGCTTTGGTAGGTTTAAGCCTTTTTAGTTTTCTTTTTTTATTTTTTTTAACAACCTGTTTCTAACGGTGATTTTTTTCATTTTTGTAGAAAGGCTTGGTTATTCAAGTATGAGTTGAGCGTGAGATACTCTTTCTTTCAGTCATTCAATTTTCAAAAATTTTGATTTTGATGGCTCCCTTGTGGAAATGCAAGTAGATTTTAAATTTTTAATTATTTATTCTTTTTTTTTGTCTTTGATTATAATCTCTTTTTTTCAGTTTTTTAGATTCCATCTTCATATCAGTCTTCAGATACATGTGAAATTGACAAAGAATAAGTATTTCAATTTGGAAAACTTTAAAAATGGTGAGTTTTATATTGTGAAACTTCAATTATTTTATTTTTTTATAAGAAATATTAACATTTCTCTTTTTTTTGCAGGTATAAATGTTTCGATAAAATGAAAGCATACATTTGGTATATGAAAATTTTTTTTAATTTTTTTTTCATATGAAACGTTTTCTTCTTTTGTTCTCTTGTAAGTACCTTTCGGGTTCTTCTTATATTGGATACTGGTTATACAGTAGGTTTCAAAGTTTCATTTTGAAACTTTGGTTCTTTTTTTTATTTATTTTTTTTAAAAGAAACAATGCTTATTTATTTTTGTAGACTTCCTTTGATTGGCTTTGATTTTGGATTAGGAAAACAGGTGGTTTCAAAATTTAACTTAGCAAAACTTCTATTTTCAGTTATTTCTTTTTAGACCTCTGGAAATTATTATAATGTGATATCAGTGGATTATAAAGTTTAATATATAGGTTTTAATTATTTATTACATCGTATATTACTGTAAAATTGAAGAAATGCATATTTACGAAATAAATAGTAAATGCCACTATAAAATAATACTTGAAACAATGTAGTATTTATACAAATTCTTTATGATTTTTCTATGATTTTCCGATGAGAAAAACTAAGTGGGACGATCTTGAACTCTGCACCCCATTCAACTGATCAACAAAGGTTCTAACCTTACATTTCATGTCTCAATTGTCTAGGTTATATCCTTCGTGGTCCGCCCATGGTTTTAACCCATGTCCATGATATACTTTGACTTGTCATGCTGTGTCATAGAAACAAATCATGCTAATTAATTTAATCCAACAATATATGATTATACTCACTTCACTGGTCGAAATCAAAACTTTCGACCGTTAAGAGCTTTCGGCATAATTTTTGCCGATTGGTCATGTGATTCATCACATTTTTTGACCAACGGCAAAAATCGGTAAAATCAATCACAAATCGACTGATACTGATTGTTAAACGAAAACTCGTTCAGTCTTTTGGTGAAAAATTGACTTATACCGATTGTTATACGAAAACTTGTTCCTTTAAGGTCATTCAGTAAATTTTGCCGATTGGTCACATAAATCGACACAATTTTGCCAAATAGTAAAAAACATTATTTTTTAATTCGAATTTTATACTTTGTTTACATTGTTTATATTCAGTGCATAATCATTAATGAAAATTTTTATTGTAAAATGAATTTCGTCTTGTTTTTCGTCAAGTAATTATAATAAAAATACTACAAAAGAATCTTTTCGTAAAATGAAATTTTGTCTAATAAACGTGTCTCTCGTCAAGTAATTATAAAAATTAAAAAAATAAAAAAAATAATTCGGCCAATTTTTACCAAAACACTTAATTATTAACGAATTTGGAGTTTGCGATTAATTGGATTAATCGCCAAATATTCAATAGCATTACTCCAAGTAGAAATTCGATATTTTGATGGTATAAATCGACAAAGGATATTATGTACAGGAATAATACAATCGCGGCTTTCATCATAAAATTCAGATTTTCACAACTCAACGTTACAGCTCTCGTCTTCATCATCAATATGAAAATAATATCGACTTTCACTCATACTAGCTGGTCGATACCAACGAATATATGCCAAATTATGTTCCATTTGTCCATTTGGCAAGTCGACTGTATGTTTGAAGAAGTATTGAATTTGTCCAGGATAACTGTCGACTTCCCCATCACTAGTTATAAATTTGGCTAGGACATACGAGCTTTTTGTATGTCGAACTGACATTGCGGAGCCAAATACTTCGGAACCAATTCGGCATCTTCCAAATTGATTTATCTTTACTCGAATTGTTATAGAATCTTGGATAATTTCATCTGCTGGTTTGCGAAACTTGTACATTTCGATATAAGAAGCATTATAAAAAGCAACCATCAGTTCGAGCATTGATTCGGTCATTATTGCTTCAGAACTAGGCTTCAGCATTTCTCCAGGAAACGGCTCGCATCCAGTAATAGTCGATTCCTGTATGTTTTTAGCATTTAGCCAAAACCGCTCTAGTTCATCTGAAGAAAATTGGTCTGCAGCCGATATTGAACCAGTTGTGGGTCGATCTTCAAGCAATTCTAAGCCTTTCGTTTGAATGTCAGAACTAATGATATCTCCAATTCGATTATCATTCATTATCCGACGCATTATTTCCGGTTCAATTTGTCTATTACTTGTTGGCAACGAGCCTTAAAAATTATTAAAAATAAGACTAACAATGTAAACATCCGAATAAAGTAAAAAAAGTAAAAAAAAGAATATCTTACCGAGTATTCCATTCATACGCTCAAATGAAAAACACCAAAATGCATACAATGGACCAAAATCATTCGAACAATCGCACAAATGGAGCGAAAGGTGAAGATTAGGCGTAATTTTTACTCTTCCATAGTGTACTTCAATAAGCTTAATTATTTTAATTAGCCTCTCATGAGCTTCTTCCATTAATTCAATTTCTAAAATTCGGCTTACTAAAATAGAACAAACTCTAACGAAATGTGTCAAGATTTTTCGATCTTTTGACGGTAAATGTTCCCACAATGAGGTAGTTGCGTAGATCATAAAGAAAATTCGCCACTGATCGGCTGTATAGTTTGAAAACCCTTCTCCGCGCTCAATATTTCCGGGAATTCGTCCCAAATCAGCCGGTATTTTGAATTGATTCATTTTTCTTGAATCTTCTTTAGATCGTTCGGGGTTAAAACACCCTCTTTGATCTAAATCCTCTTCATTATCCACCTCGCAATTCCTAAGAATAAGCAGTGCATTGGATCTACAATAATAAAACGAATTGGGTCAAAGTACGGCAATCGAAGTAACTCCGACCACCTAACCCCTTTTTCACTAACGAAATTCTTTCTTGAATTGGTGGAATTGCAACTTCGCCATGCAAGAGCATTCTGACGATGTTTGGTCGAATCTCGAGTAATGAACCAATTCTCCATATCCTCCATACCTGCAAAATTATGTTGGTGGTCTTCATAATTTGCTCGTTTCATACACCGATGGCAAGAAACCAAAGCTGAAATATGCCCGCATATTTTTCTAGCAGCAGGGATATCGCACGAAATTAGTACTAAAGCCGCACGAATATTTTTCCCGTTTTGGCACTTAAATGTTCGATTTAAAGTTATTCCACTCCATAGTAACTCTAATTCATTGACAATAGGCGCAATATAATGATTAATCTTGTGCAAGCTTACTTCGTTCTGTCCTGGTAGTAGACCGAGAACCAGCAAATTTTCGCGCTTGAACCGAATGTTACGGGGTAAATTACAGATAGCTGCGTAAATTACCCTGATACTATAAAATGTACCATCGTAGGGCTGGAACCAATCAAGGTTTATCATTAGTCCTAGATGTGAATCGGCTACTTCTGGTCGGAAAAATTTGGCTGAATTTTCATCGTCAGTTTCTCTTAATGTTTTCCAGATTTGACCGTCATATATATCGGTCAGTATGTTATCGAATTGTCAACGATTTGACCAATGTCGAAGTAACCGTTCAAAGTGAGGCCGACGATATAGAGTTTCCAATTGTTGATGAATCGGTACAAACGGATATATTAATTCTGGCTTTTTAACCTCTCTCTCAGCCAAGACCGTTTGACACGATTTCGTCCTTCGAGACGCAGAATTTGGAAATTCGATGTGACTGCATCTTATGATACTAATACTGTCATTTTTTTGAATTTCGTCCATGTCTGTCTTATTATATAATTTATGACATTTCAGACATGGCACGAAACTATGGAAACGATCTTTCAGGCCAAGTTGATTTCTTGCCAGATATAGAGAGTCAGGAAAGTTATCGTAAATGTCTCCACCGATTTCTTTTAACACTATTTTCATGAATTTTAGTTGAGATTCGGTCGCTGTTTCAGGGAGATTGAACTTTTTTCGAAAGGTCATTATCCACAATAAAATCCATGAAAATTTATCATCGATTGTCATTTTTTCTTCCTCTTGATATGATTTAAAATCTGGTGGTGAATAATTTTCAAAAGTATCGGCAAAAGTTTCATCATCTGACTCATTGCCATCAGATGAAGAAGTATCAGTATGTTGTTCATAATCAGAATTGCTCAAATCTTCTGTTCCTGAATGTTCGAGCATAGTTTGTGGGCGATTTGCATAGCTTCTTGTACGTCTTCGAGGTAAAAAAATATATTCATTTTCGTTGTATTCTGGAGTTGTTGAATTATCTTTTTCATTTAATGGAATTGTTGTCAAATCTTCTTCTAAAGGAGTTATTACCGAAATCTCTTCATTTAATGGAGGTACCAAAATATCTTCATTTATCAGATTTTCTTCTAACGAAGTTATTGTCGAATCCTCTTCTTGATTAATTAGTAACAATGAAGCCAAACCACTATTAAGATTCGAGTCAGTTGTGTTTTCTGCCGCTTCGTGAAGCATTTTGGTTCGTGTTATAACCAGTTTTCCATTACATTTGTCACAATAACAAGGGACTTTGGTTCTTTTTTTGCTAAACCTTCTAGAAGATAGTCGGTTTGCTATCCTTTCCGAACCCATAATTTGATTAATCGATCTTCTTCCCGTCATGTTTTAGATGTGTATAAGAGACAGAGATTATCCATAGTATCAATTGTATTATCTGTTAATAATGATGTATTGAGTGTAATTTTTGGATTTTTGAAAATAACTTATTTATAAACACTGGTCGAAATCAAAACTTTCGACCGTTAAGAGCTTTCGGCATAAATTTTGCCGATTGGTCATGTGATTCGTCACATTTTTTGACCAATGGTAAAAATCGGTAAAATCAATCACAAATCGACTGATACTGATTGTTAAACGAAACCTCGTTCAGTCTTTTGGTGAAAAATCGACTTATACCGATTGTTATACGAAAAATGGTTACTTGAGATCGTTCAGTAAAATTTTGCCGATTGGTCATATAAATCGACACATTTTTGCCAAATGGAAAAAATCAAAAAAATATGTTCTTTTTTAATTCGAATTTATACTTGTTTACATTGTTTATATTCAGTGCATAATCATTAACGAAAAATTTTAATTGTAAAAATGAATTTCAACTCGTCTTTCGTCAAGAAATTATAATAAAAATACTACAAAAGAATCTTTATTTGGAAATTTCGTAAAAATTTCGTAAAAATGAAATTTCGTCTAATAAACGTTGTAGCCATAGATACTGGAGTAATCGCATAATATGGAGGAATAATATGGAATAAAAGATCAAACGATAGAAAGTCACATGATGGGATAAAATTAACCGGAAAGGATAAACTTTTAGGAGAAGGAATGATCTACATGATGTAATGTTTATTAAATGATTAACGGAGAACCAATAGATCAAGTGGGGAGTTGATCGATGTGGCTTAGCAACCAGTTTATCAAGTTCAACAATAGGAACAATTAGGAGGAGTAATCATAAGCCACAAATG